ACTTTCTCATCCATTCGTTTCACACCAATCTGAAGGCTCTCAAATGCTCTTCCCTCAGTGCTCATCATTCTTTCATCTTTCTTCCCTTCCTTGGGTACCAAACATGGTCATGTACCACTGTTGCTTTGAATAGGAGATCTTTCAAGCTTGAGGAGATTTTTGCGCTCCTCCAGATTATAGTGAATAGAAAGGTCACAGTCTTAAGTCTTTACATTCTGACAAATACACTGTTGCATAACTGCTGACCCCTGAACCACAATGGGTTTTGGGGTGCTGACTTGCCCTGAGTTGAAAATCTGCATGCAGTTGATAGTCACTTCTCCTTATATCTGGTTCCTCCAAATCTGTGGTTCTGCATCATTGGATTCAACCAGTTCCAATTGTGTAGGACTATAGTATTTACTACTGAAAAAAATTTGCCTGTAAGTAGACCCACACACTTCAAACCCATGTTGTCCAAGGGTCAACTGTATAAGAAAACTTTAAAAACTGAAGGGAAGAAAATACAACAAAATTTCTGCCAAAGCAGGGTCTGTTGTATGCTAGGATGAATAAGGTGAACTCCTGTTCATCCTTCAAAACCCTACCTGGGCATGACCGTTGGAGGAAGCCTTCCCTAAGCCTCCAATGTGGGGTTCATGGATCTCTGGGAGTGACATTCATCCCTTGTCCTACTGTGGGTGACTGGGCATATTCCCCTCACTGTTACCTGTCAGTTTATTTGTCTTGTCTGTCTCCTCCCCACCACATCTCCCCCTCTGGAGACGAAGGGTCTGCTATGACCTTAAGTCTGAGGCTGTAGGTACCAGAGTGAACCTGCTGCCCAAAGGGAAGCCCATGGGACAGCCAGAGCTTTACAGGGCCTGTGAGCTAGTGCTCATGGTAACCTTCAAGCTAGATGTGATTTACTCCATTTTATTTATTATTTAAATTTTTATTTATTTATTTTGGCTGTGCCTTGTAGCTTGCAAGATCTTCGTTCCCAGACCAGGGATTGAACCCGGGAAATGGCAGTGAAAGTGCAGAATCCTAACCACTAGGCCACCAGGGAATTCCCTCATTTGCTCCATCTTAGACATAAGAAAGGGCTTCCCTGGTGGCTCAAATGGTAAAGAATCTTCCTGTAATGTGGGAGACCCAGGTTCGATTCTTGGGTTGGGAAGATCCCCTGGAGAAGAGAATGGCAACCCACTTCAGTATCTTGCCTGGAAAATCCCATGGACAGAGGAGCCTGGTGGGCTGCAGTCCATGGGTTGGCCAAGAGTTGGGCACACCTGAGCAGCTAACACCCACACATACACACAGACAAGAAAACGGAGGTGGGGTAAACCACTTGTCCATGGCCCAGGGCTGCCAAGAAAGCAGCCCCCGATGCAGAACCACCCACCTCCAAAACACCATCAGCCACACCATGAGCTGATCGACATGATGCTAACAGTTTATGTATATGGAGCCCTCCCACGTGCTGCATCCACACAAACCATCTCCCAGAACAACTCCATGAGTGCTCATCTCATGGATGAGGAAATGGAGGCGCTGAGCACCTATGAAACCTGCCAGAGGCTAATGAAGCTTACTGGGATTTGAATGCTGGGACCTGAAAGAATAACCATCGCCCAGCACGGCCCCTTGCCCCTGCCTCCCTCCTGCACCAGCGGCTCTCAGCTCGAGGGGGCCAGGTCCTCCACAGGACATTGAGCAAAGCTTGGAGACGTTTGGAGTTGTCGCAAGGGGCGGGAGAGGAGAGATGCTACTTGTACTCAGCGGGGAGAGACCAGGAAGGACGCTGAATGCCCGACAGTGCACAGGACGGCTGCCCCCGCCGGCCACAAAGACAGTCTGAGATGACCCAACTTAGAACGGCATTAGTGCACACATGTGCGCACGCGCGCGCACACACACACACTACAGCATCCAGACCCACATTCCCAACCCCCATGGGCTTCCCCAGTGACTCAGTAAAGAATCTGCCTGCCATGCAGGAAACCTGGGTTTCATCCCTGGGTCAGGAAGATTCCCTGGAGAAGAGCATGGCAACCCATTCCAGTATTCTTGCCTGGAGAATCCCATGAACAGAGGAGCCTGGCAGGCCACAGTCCATGGGGTCACAAAAAGAGTGGGACACGACTGAGTCACTAACACAGGTAAAAGGGGAGGGGGTGGGGAAAAATAATGCAAGCCCCGCCCACAAATGTACCACCATCACCATTAACGTCATATTTATTGTTATTTAGCTGCTCAGGAAAACATATACAGGTATATACAATATGCATGAATACAGAAGACTGCACTTTACATATTTTTTTAAAAAAGAAAGAAAAAAATAACACTCAATTTCATGAGCTATTGTCACAGTCTTCCAACCAAGCATTTCAGAAATGAATTTCTTTTAAGAGTCAAAAAAGATTACAGGATTGCCTAACACACAGCAGAGTTAAGTTTCCATATTTTACATGTGCAATAACGTTCTCATATTCTTTCCCGAAGAGTTTTGCTATGCAGTACCGATTACCAGTGTTTGTGGAGTCTCATGGGTTGGGTGTGTTTTTAATTTGCTTTTATTCTTTCCATTAAACCAAATCTAGTGAAATAACATCCTTTTGCTTAAGGCTATTTTTAAAGCTGTTCCATTCTGGGGTCGTGGGGAGCGAGAAAGTTGAAAACTTCAGGGGTTTCCGAAGTTGCAAGGACCACGAGCTGATGGCCGTGTGCTGACGGCCTCAGCGCAGGGAAGGTCAAAGACAGAAGTCAAGACACTTGGCTCCCCGGCCTTAAGCAATTAAGGAGAAATCATTCCTGTTTAAGAAATAAAAGGGTGAAGCTCTCAAACAGCTGTCCATTTCGGAATCAGAGGGGGCGTGGAGTTTTGCTCAGACTATGGCTGGCCCTCCTGCAGTCCATTGCAGGAGGGGACATTCCCTCCCCCTTTCTCTCCTTTCCTGGCAGAACCCAGGACTGGATAAGCCCCCACCTTCTTCTCTCTGATCAGTCCACACCACCTGCTTCTACCTGCCTTCTGCAGGGGCCAGGGTCAACCCAGGTCAAACTGCCCGTGCAGGAACTCTGGACGGTCCAGACTCAGACCCCGAGCCAAAAGGGCCGGCAGGAGGAAAGATGAGGAGGGGGAAGTGGAAAGAGCCAGATTTTTCTGGATGCTCTTCTCCCTTTGCTAAAAAGTTCTTTGAAATAAACAATGTGGGTGTTGTAGGGTGAGCTCAAAGCCTTCAGGTCACTTGCTTAAAAAAAAAAAACAGGTCTGTAAACTCTGGGGACATGGGGCGGGGTGGGGGGAAGGATGCAGGGGGCGTGAGGCTCAAAATGGAGCATTTAGTAAGATGCTCAGAAATTGAAATCGAGCAGAAGAGTTACGGATTTGGGTGACGTGGTATCAGTCACTCCTTGTCTGGCCCACCCTGGAATCTGGGCCACCCCCACCACCCCCATGAATCACACAAGCCCTTCGCGGTCATCAGCAGCACCCAAAGAAAGCCTCCCCTGCCCGCGCCGAGCCTCCGCTGACCGCTGCTCTGAGAGCGCCAGGTAAGAGGCCTCAGCTGGGTCCCTGCTCACCCAGCCGCTCCTTCACCTCTGCTCAAATAAGTCATTCCTTCAGGAGATGCTCAGGACGTGGCTCTGGTTTTGCAGCAGGCTGAGATTATGCCAAAAGCGGAGAGGGGGGGATTCTGGGGTTTTAAAAACAAGAAAAACGCCCAAGAATCAAAGTCACTAGTTGCAGTCCCTTTCTCTCCCCTCTAGTCCTCGGGAGTCTGCAAACTCCTCCAAAGAAGAGGCTGGGAGGAGGAAAGGGGGCTTGGCCGAGAGAGCCTGGGGGCTCCTTTACCCAACGAGCTCCTCCAAAAAGTGCTGGTCCCTCCCAGGGATGGGGGGCAGCCCAGAAAGGGGAGACGTGGGGGATAACCCAGAAACCACTCCTTCTTGCCCCAGTGCCTGGTTGGCAACAGACGTCAGGAAAGGTCAAGGCTGAGACCTGACCCTTCAGCTCCAACACCCGAGACCCAGCCGACCTGGCCCAGAGCAGGGCGGGAGCCTGCCATCATCCCCATGCGGACCAGGGATGCTCCGCACAGCATGAAAAGTCAGAGCCTGAGCGTTGGTGCAGAGGCCCAGAAAAGGAGAGAAAACACCACAGTCGAATATTCCAACTACTTCCCACAGAAGCAGGCTGGACACGTCATCACCTCCATCGCAGTGAAAGGCAGCTCCCAGCAGAAGAGAGAAAGGAGCTGAAGGCTGAGCGTGTGTTTGTAGGAACGAAAATATATATGTCTATTTTCTTAGGGAACAGACAAAACAAAATCTCAGGCGGAATACCTAAGGGGGGCATTAATTGTTTGGCTCCTGCCTGACTGATGACAGTTGGGTGTCAATATATAATATTGTGATGACAATTTGACTCTCACCCGGCAATATTCCAGAACTACTATTCTCCAGGATTTTCATTTTAATAAGCAGTGAACAAAGCAAAAGGAAAAAGAAAAAAAAAAAAGGAAGTGGGGAGGTACAAGACTAAAAGAGAATTAAAAAGGAAAGCAACTCTTGTCTTATTATGAAATAACAATACTTGGACATACAGCAGCACGAAAATAAAACAAGGAAAGAGGTCATCTAAAAAAAACGTATGCCAAGGTTACAGAAAAGAAAATGGGAATTATCTAGCAGGAAAAAATGCTTCAGCAAAAGTTTGCTAACTGCAGAAGGGTTAACACTGGTAACATACCGTGGCGGACAAGTTTCTTTTTTTAAAAAAATTTTTTGAGGTTTTTTTTTTTTTTTTTTTCCCCTTTAAATTAACCCCTTCGGGTCCATATGCCACTAAGCAGGTACCAACCTAGAAAAAAAAAAAATCACCCACTCAGCAATAGTGGCCCTTTCGAATTCACGTGGCGGGGGTCAGTAGGGTGGGGTCAGGTGAAGGGGGAAGAGGAAAGAGAAAGGGGGGAGGGGAGGGCCTGGTGGGGGCGGGGCTATTTCTTGTCACTTCAAGTCAGGGCGGCCACGAATGTCCCGAATCTGTTGGAAATGTCGGAGTGCAGGGACCGCCAGGTGGGCACAGAGGCTCGGGCCTTGGCATCACCCACATCGTCTGTGCAGTGGACAGACAGGCACTGCAAGTGGCTGCCGGGCTGGGGTGCCGAGGCCTTGTTCGCAGGAAGGTCGTGGGCTGCAGAGAAAGAAGGAAGAGAGAATGTTAGCGGCTTGCTTGACTGCAAGAGGCCCTGATGGGGGCAGAGGGGCAGAGGCAGGAGAAGAGGACAAGTCCAGGCCCTCTTTCTTCATGCCTAAAGATAGTCTAAGGAGATCTAAAGTCACTTGGTTCGAATCCTCCCGCTGTTGCCTTTGACTTGGGCTGTCACACTTTAGCCAAGGGAAGACCCCTCCCTCTTGGCTCTATTTTTCCCCACCACCTTGGAAAATAGAAGAGTTAGGCAGGATAAACACAGGGTTTGCCCATCTCTGATGGACTAGAGTTCCCAAAAGATTAACTGCTCCTGAAGTAAGTTGGGAAGGCTTCCTGGAGGAGGCATATCTCAACTGGGTGTTGAGGGATATGTAGGAGTTCATCAGATGCAGTGAATTAAATAAGAGTGGGGAGGATCATCCAGGTCTAGAATATAACCCATTCTCTTGTCATCCACTAGACAGACATTTGCTAAGGGGCTGCTATGTGCTGGGAACCCCCTTATGAAGTGCCAAACTTCTCAGAGCAGTAGAGACTACGAGTGTGGACTCCCCAGCCACATGAGAGCCTTTGCCCATCCCCAGCTGCTGCATGAAAGGACTTTCGGTGACAGAGATAAGGGAATCTACTCCGCCCTACACCCTCAATGAAAATCCCCTCAATTTCCTTCTCATTCAGTCATACAGCACCAGAAACAGCACAGACCATAGTCATGCTTTGATTAAACATCCTTGAGGGGAAAGAAATTTGATAACCATTCACACCTAATGTAAGTTATATTAGAAGACAACAGGAATTGGGAGTCCTAGGGCAGGGAAGGAAGGCAGCAGTCATTTCAGAGGGCTTCTAATTTACTGTTGCCCAGTGACCCATAGTTCTGTTCTGAGGCCTATTAAATCATGATTATTCTCATTGTTTCATTTTCAGAGCCTGACTCTCAGAGAGGCAAGGTGACCTGCCCAAGGTCACACAGCCAGCAAGGAGCAGAGTTGGGTTTGAAGACAGACTGATAGTGAACTCCTGACTCAGCAAAAGTGAGAAGAGCTGGCATTGGGGGCGGGGGCCCAGCGCCAGCCGAGGGAGCACACCCAGATACTGAACTCCACGACCGGCCCACCCTCCTCAGCACACTATGCAGGCCCAGCCTGGGCCCTGCGCCAGGCAGGAGTCACCCCACCCATCCCGCCCTCTGGGATCCGGGGCGGTAGGGGGGGAGGCTTCCCCAGAGAGCTGAGCCACAGCCTGCAGAGAACAACCCTCCCAGAGGGACGGGCCCAGGCAGCGGAGGCCAGGCATGACTAACTGGGTTTGGGGTCCCCACCCTGAAGCCCCAAAGACATCCAGCTTGGGGACCTGCGTTCTTGGGAGGAGCTGGGGCTGGGAGGGAAGATTCTCTCCTGTGCCTCTTCTTTCCTTCCTTCGATTACGAAGCCTTCACTGGGACCCTACTATGTGCTAGGCATGGTGGTGAGCCTGCAGATTCCAGCAGGAAACAAGGCACTTTCTTCCTCCTCCTCCTCCTGCATCTGACAGTAAGGCTGGGAAAACAGCGTCAGAGCCCAGTCACTTTGGAGTCAGAGACTGAAGCCTGAATCCCAGCCCCAGCGCTGTGTGCACAGGGTCTGACACTTTGCCCTCTCTGACCCTCAGTTCTGACCCTCAGATCTGTTCACTGGTAAAGTAGGGGTGATGCCGTCTCCCTCGAGGTCTTGTCACAGGTGTCCTGGCACACAGACACATCCCCAGGCAGGGCTTCTGAGACTGTCATTCATGTCTGGGGTTGGGAAGGCAGTCCTTGCAATCATCTAGAAGGCTTCAAGCCTGGTCCCCTCCTTCAGACTGGCCAGCTGGGAGTGTCCCTGCCCATGAAACGGGAGTCTTTGCCCATTTCATGGGCGGGGAAGCTGAGACTAAGATTTCAAAGTCAGTGAGAGGTGGTGGAGCTGGGATGCTGTGACCCCAGGAAGCTAGAGACACCAGATTCCGGGTCCCCTTGCCCCGAGCAGGCCTGGATTCCAGCCATGCTGATGCACAGCCCTCACTCACATCTCTGCTCTTGAACCCACGCTTGCCTTGCTTCCGGTGACACCCTGAAGCTTAACACCGTTGCGGGTATTTTGTTCTGAGCATTGCAAGATCTGGATTTGGGGGAAGAAGTAGCATCTATCAGAGGGTGGGGAGAGAGAGAAATTCTGAAAGGAGTTCCTTACTTCACTTCACACATATTATTCCAAGAAGCCAACACAGCAAAGTTTGTGCCCATTTTACAGGTAGGAAACAGAGACCCCTGCCAAAACTTGCAACAGCTAAAGAAAGACAAGACCCAGACGTCAGCTCTGGACCCCCAGCTTCCTGGCTCTGTGGCTGACGCACCAGAAGGGCAGGCACAGAAGGGCCAGGACACTCACAGGAGCTGGGTTTGCTCAGCTGGTTCCAGATTGCTCCAAATGGCCACGTTTTCTAAAGATGCTCTCTTTCCAAGACGCAGACAACTGAAACGCATGCAGTGCGCCAAAACCAGAGACAGCTGCTCTTCTTCCTTGGGGTGGATTTAATGAGGGCGTGGCAGGCACACAGCTGAACACGTCTGCGTATTATCTAATTCCATCCCCCAGCAAGCCCAGCAGCGGGGGGATCCTTCTGCCAACTTGAGAGGGGGCACCTGGGGCTCAGAGAGGGTGAGGGGCTTGCCTGACATCACAGAGCACGGACATCGGATCTCCCGGCCTCTCTGCCGGGGACAAGTGAGCAAGTCTGCTATCCACGGGGAACGCTTCTAGCAGAGAATATGACTCTTCAGTTCTCGACAACCTGAGCATGACCAAACTCATCCTCCCGCCGGGTCCATTCCAGCTGGGGGGACCCAACACGCCCTCGGACCGCGGCTCCCCTGGGCTGCCGATAAAATCAGTCCTGCAGGAGCCGCCTCAAGTCAGGGCCTGCCCCGGCCCGGGGTGGGGAGGGGCCCTCCGTCCCCCCTCCTCGGGGGCAGCAGACGGGCCAGCCCCCACGCCAGGGCCCAGAGATAAAAGCTTCCCCCCTCACCCAGCTCCCAGGGTTGGGAGAGACCCTGGGGTTACTCAGCGCCCGGCACTGGCAGATACCGCAGAACCGCTGGGTGTTGCCCTGTTTCCCCTTGTTGGCTGTGGGCTGCATGGGGGAGGGGCGGGTCTGGCCTGTTCTGCTCAGCTGGGCCCCCGGCACGCTGACTGTGAAGGGACTTTCAGCCCCATTTGGCAGATGGGAAGACTGAGGCCCCAAGGGACAGGGAGCTGCCCAAGGCTCACCCGAGGCCAGGTCACCAGCTCTGGGACCTGCCCTCTCCTTTCAGCCCGGGATTCCTCGCAGGGTCAGGCTGAGATGGAACCCCAGATCCTCCAATCTAGGCCACTGGCCCCCTGCTGCAGGGCCTCAGTTTCCTCATCTATAACTTAGGGGAGGCGGGGGTGGGTGGTGATTCCCATGGGCCTGGCTCTAGGCTGCTGGAGGAGGCCATGCAAGAGAAAGAGCTGGGCTTCTCTGGTGGCTCAGCGGTAAAGAATCCGCCTGCCAATGCAGGAGACATGGGTTCGATCCTTGGTCCAGGAAGGTCCCACATGCTGCGGAGCAACTAAGCCCATGTGCCACAACTACTAAGCCTGTGCTCTAGAGCTCCGGAGCCTCAACTACTGAAGCCCGAGAGCCCGAGAATCTGTGCTCCACACGAGAAGCCACCACAACAAGAGGCCTGAGCATTGCAACTAGAAAATACCCCCGGTTGCTGCAGCTAGAGAAAAAAGCCCGCACAGCAACGAAGACCCAGCACAAACAAAACTAAGTAAATAAATCAAATTATGGAGGGGGGAGGACTTACTGAAAATTTTTCTTATAAAAGAGAAAGAGCTGCTGACACCCTGCCTGTGGGGTCAGTTCCTGAGACACGGGTGGCATCGACTCAAAATTATAACCATCAGGTGCCTCACCCCAGGCAGCCACAGGGGCTGAGAAGAGGGGCTTCCGGCTCAAAGGACAGGACGGCGTGCCTGCCCAGCAAGGAAGGACCGAGGGGCAGTTTTTAAGGTCATCCCCCTAAATGGCTGGGCTTCCCAGGTGGTGCAGTGGTTAGGAATCTGCCTAGCCAATGCAGAAGATGCAAGAGACGTGGGTTAGATCCCTGGGTAGGGAAGATCCCCTGGAGGAGGAAATGGCAACCCACTCCAGTATTCTTGCCTGGAGAATCCCACGGACAGAGAAGCCTGATGAAATACAGTCCATGGGGTCGCAAAGTCAGACATGACCGAGTGCGCACGCAGGCACCCTAATGGCCTGAAGGTACCACCTGAGTCCGCACGCGCAGGGCAGGGCCTAAAGCTAGGACGCCTCGCTTCTCCTCTCCCTGAAGGCTCTCCCCACCCCGTCCCCCTGTGCACAAGCCCTGGCTGACCCACCTGGCCCCTCCTCAGCCACCCCTCCCTAAACGCCACCGACCTGGTATCACCCTACCCAGATACCAGCTGCTTCGGGCTCGCCCTGACGCCAACACAAGGCCACGTCGGATTTTGTCTTCAGCGTTTCCCCATCCCGTAAATTCCACAAAGGGAAGACGGAGAGAACCTTGAGCCGGTGCCCAGAAAGTGACCGCATGAATAATGGATGGAATTCCACTCCTCCGGTGGGTTCTGCAACCATCGTGGCCTGCCGACTGCGGAACGTTGGAACTTTCGGGTACGTCACCCCTTTCAGCTCTCAGAACCTCAGTCCCAGGAAATGGGGGAAATAATCGGACTGGCCGTCACGGAGGCAGGGATGAGGATTAAGTGAAACGATCCATGTAAAGTGCTTAGCACACAGCACTCCTGCCACCGCCAGGAGGACTGCCCTGTGTGGTTGTGGACCGGCTCTGCGGGGACCGGCAGGGCTTGGGACGGCTGGTCGGAGCGCTAATGGGGATGGCTGGGTGACCCTTGGGCTGGCCAGCCGTGGCTGGGGTGAAAGGGAGAAGG